CCTCCCGGCTGCGCAAGTTCCAGCTGGTCAGTCCACTGTTTGCGCCCTCTGTTCAATACTTTACTACATCAAACCTCTATAAAAAGGAAGCGTTGCATTTAACCACTACTTAAGCCACACAGCACAGCCAACGCATAAACCTTGCGTTATCAAACACCTGCAGAAAATTCGTCACCTTCGGATCATCGGGTTACACTAGAAAACAGACTGCAACGCGACAATACAACGACGGACATGGCGAGCAACATTTGTTCTGGTAACGCCGATGAACTCGGCTGTCCCGTCGACCATAGCAAGTTCAAGCGTGAGAACCTCGATTCTCGCGTTTGCCTAATCTGTGAGTGTTGCCCTTGTACTGCGGGCGATCGCGGAAGCCATCGTGTCACGTACTGCAGCTACCGGATACAGTGTTGTGGAGGAAGGGGAAAGTTGGGGAAATCTATGGCGGCGCGGATGCATGTGCAATGCAAGGGGATTAGGTTCTTGGCTCTGATTGGCCAGCATTGGGCTTTGTCGTTAAATGGCTCAAAGATGTAGTAATGGGGGTTTCACTAGCGTTTTTTTATCATGCCCCGGGTGCAAGCTAACTAAAATGGTCACAATGCTCGAGTGCGAAGGTGGTTATGTTCGTTTTGTGCCTATCGGCTTCCATACTCGATGCTAATCCCGCAATGGTAGGAGCACCTCTTGGCGCCCGCTGCGGTCGACGATGGTCAGGGGCTCCCACTAGAGCCACGGGTCCGTGTCGCTTAGTCATCGAACAACTGTATTAGTCACCACAAAAATGCATCTAACGCGGCCACCTCCCCGTGCCCGCAACACCACAGCCGGCGCCATCACCATGGCCACCTTCCCAGACGACTGCCTTCCTCCCGAACGCTATTTCGAGTCTCGACAGGCCGTATTTGAGTCAATCAATGCGTGGGCTAAGCCGAGAGGCTACGCTTTTACGACTCTAAGGTCAACGAAAGAGAAAAATGGCACGTCAACTGTCATCTACGCATGCGATCGGTCAGGTGATCCTCCAAACGATAGGGAGCGTCAGAGAAGAACAACAACTCGGAAGATGCATTACCCATTTTCAGTTATAGCAAAAGAGACGACTGATGGCGGCTGGACCCTGAAGCATCGTCCCGATCAACGCTTTGCGGTACACAACCATGAGCCCAGCCAGCACCCATCGGCCCACCCAGTCCATCGGCAACTCCCTGGAGGTACATCACAGCTTGCAAGCTTCTCTAATGCTGGTATCTCGCCGAAGGAGATCCAGACACTCGTACGGCAGAGCGGCTCGCTAGCTACAAGGCAAGACATCTACAACCGGATTGCAGATGTACGTCGAGATGCATGCGAAGGTCAGAGTGCAATTCATGCGCTAGCCAATCGACTCGACAAGTCGCGGGGAGGTGGCCGCGTTAGATGCATTGTTGTGGTGACTAATACACTTTTGCGATGACTCAAGCGAGACGGACCCGTCTCTCTAGTGGGAGCCGGACCCGTGGCTCTAGTGGGAGCCCCTGACCATGGTCAGGCTGGCGCTGACAAATAATCACAAGCACCCTTCTGTTCCATAGCCAGATATCATGCTCATGTAACTCAACATCCGTGGAACTGAACCGAGAGAGGCTCTACCAAGCAATTCGAGACAGTACCGCTGCCCGGCATGGAGTTCATCACAATAATGCATCCAAGCCAGAAGAACTCGCCCCGGTTGAGGCGCGAGGCCCATTCCCATGCGGCTCGGACTGCACATGCCCGGGTGAGGAGGATCCAAGTCGCGCGTTATACTGCTCTTAAGTCAGCCTTGCAGAAGAAGGCATCACCAACAACACCCCCAAAGGTCACCGTCTCCCCAACTCAAAACTGGAACCTTGCCAGCCAGCACCCCAGCTCGGTCCCGGCCTTTATCTCAAGCGCCTTCGAACACGAGCCCCTGGCGAGCTTTTTGAGATTGCTCACTTCCAGGGAACATTATCTATTCAACTATTGCAAGTACTGTCCACTATCAATCACCTCCACCCCACCCCTTGGACACTTGGCTTTTCAAAACAACAACATACCTGACAATGCCGGGGCCAGACATGCGCGTAGTCAGCCCCGCAATATGCGACCGCTGCCCGATCCTGAACGGTCTGGGCATTGAGCACCGACGACGAGTCCGCGACAACTGGGCCATCTTATCATCGACCGACCTCGAGATCCTCAGGGGCACCCTGCTCTCGGCCTGCCGCTGGCTGTCCATGGTCCAGCAGGAGACCGAATACGCCGAGCTCGCCATCGAGTACAAGCTGCGCCTGGTCCGGGATCTGCAAGGGACCATCCGTACGGGAGGGCTATTGTCGAGCCGGACGGCGGTCAGCAAGGCCTTGGTGCTGGCGTGTGACGAGGTAGGTAACCTTACCTTTCCTTGAATATGCATTCTCACATGTAGTCACCACAGTGATTATCCAACTGGTATGGGAGAGTCAGTCGCTCACTTTTCTGCTTGACTAGATCACGATTCGCGACATGTCCATGGCTGCAACACACCTTGCGGGCGCCTTGCAGATCATCAGGGTAGCAGGCGGGATCAAGGTGCTCGAGCTAAGTGGCCTGGTTCTTTTCCTCTTGTCGAGCTGTGTGCATGGCAAGAAGCTTCTCAATTCGGACCCTCCCATCGAGATCCCTTGCGGAACGGAATTCCTAAACCGGATGGGGCTGCTTGCCAACTATATTCTACAATAAGAGAATCATGTCCTGCTTGTTGCTTTTGTGCGGAGCGGGAAAGGCGGAGGGCGTATTTAGGGGACTATATTGATGTCACCACTATCCATCTAGCCGATCAGCGAACACTGTAGTCTATCGATTGGCGAAGGACAGAAGAGAAACTCCCCGGCTGCGCTTTAAGACACGGTCCGTTCATAGTGGCATTATTTCTGGCATGTCCCTTGCTGTATGTAGAGTTCTAATTTGATGTGTTTACCTACACGGTTGCTGGAGTCTCGGCAATCTACTTCGCGATCGGTTGACGCCCGTGGTGGCAGCTCGACTACCGTTCAAGCTCTTCATGGCGTCGAGAGTCTCATCGCCACTGTCCTCGTGATCCGAACTGTCATCCGCGCTCTCCTCCCCAGAGTCGTCTCCATTTGTGCTGTAGTCCTTGGTGTCGACCTCTCTGGATGTGACACGGTGAGATCTATTGCGGGACTCGAGGTACGACTCTTCCAGCTCGCTCGCGGAATTTGCCCCGTCCGAAGTCTCGTCTTGGTACCCGCTCTCGGAGTCTTCCCCAACCATTGCCAGCTCATCTGCAAGAGACAATCGCCTTTTGAAAGGTGGCCTCGCGGCAGAGTCTCTGGATCCTGTGTCTCTTAGCATGGGCTCGATCAACCGTGTCGGGGGTACGGTGTTGAACGCGGCGGCCCTTACCTTCTTGTCTGATCCCTTGGATCGTGTTTCTCCGTCCAAGTGGTCGCCGCTCTGAGGCGGCAGCATGATCCATTCCGTTGCTTCGCGGAATTCGCGCCGCGGAATGGATGGCTAAGGAGATGTTTTGGAACCAGACGGACTGGTGTTGCTTAGGACTCGCTTGTACGTCCTCCTGCTGCCGGTATGGAAGCTGGCCCCTGGTAGGGGCATTCGAGCTCAAGTTTTCCCCGGTCGATAGCCCAAGCTCGCGCCGTTGCAATTCGAGGGCCCTCAGTAGCAGGCGGTTGTATCCTTCATAGAAATTCTGTTGGAGAAGGTCGACGCCTACATTGTGGTTAACAGCGCTGGTACTAAAGCTTATAGCGAGTTTGATGATGCAGGGGCCTCCAAACAGCAGCGGCAGGCAAAGCTGAACCAAATCTGGTGTCACTTACTGCCTCCATGCAACTGGTTGACCTCCTTGACCACCTTTAACTGTGTCTCGGCGAACTCAAGCGACTCAATGGCCACATGGATAGCCGCTTGGACGCGCATCTCTGCCTGTAGAGCCTGTACCAACTGCGTCTGAGGTCCGCTATTGATGTCAGCCTCAACATGTAGACGACGAGCGTCGCTGCTATGGTCGCCAAGATGAGGAAACCTCTCGGTTCTTGTCTCGGTTTGCTGCTGCTGCCCTCCATCCGGGGACCGCGTAGTAAGCCGAGGAGCCTGCAGATTTGCGGTAGTCATCGGCTGGGGCGCCAGGAGTTGTGTGCTGCTGCTGTGCGGTTGAGGCGGATTGACTCGGGGCGCGACGTCTGTCCTTGTTGATGGCGCTGAGATGGGTTGCTCAAACGCCGATAGCGTGCTCTGGACTGAGTCCCGGAGGTGGCCAAGCGTCGGGCACAGAACTTCGCCAAGCCGTTCTCGGGATTGTTCTTGAGGCAACAGCTCCCGAAGAATGCTTAGGGCGACGTGTAGACTCGAGCTCATGGTGAGAACTGCGCCGACTAGGCCCTCTTTGTCCGCATCCCGTAGTGGCCGGGGTACCGATTTGAGCTTTTGAATGGCCGAGACCGGGCTGTCGGTGAAGCCGTCGCGACGGACAGACCGCAGCCATGATCCAAGATCTTGGAACAGAGCCATAGCTCGCCGCGGAAGGGGTTGCTCGATCTAAAGACCCGCAGCGGCAAATCACTCGAAACAAAATTCAATGTTTCTCAATGGCTGTAGAGATTTGACAGCCCGATACAAACCCTTAAGGTTTTGTGGCGTAAATTCGAGGTGCCAAGCAGATATCGTCAAGTGGCTGGTCGTTGGACTCGAGGAGCGGTGTGAGTTGATCCACATGCCTAGCCGCCTGCAGCCAAATTCCACGCGCAGACGAAGCTAAACTCGGTGGATTCTCATGGTTTAAATAAGAACACCACAGTCAGTGTATTTTGTGATGGAACAAGGTCACATCCGTACAGTAAATACAGCGCACTGCTCCGCAGTTGCCATATACGCAGATGGTCTCGCTGGTTACCTTACTCACTGAGCATCCTTCAAACTTGGTTTGCCTTTGCCTTTTTCTCTACTCGTTCCCAGGAAATGCCTAGGAAGCTGCCTTCCCCTCCAACACGCCCGTAGAAAAGCCAATTCACCTGGTTGGTTGCGTTAAACGAAAAAGAGAAATCATGTCGGCCGCACAAGGCGCCCGGACAATATTCTCCGCCTCCTGCCAACCCAGAAAACAATTAAGAAAAGCAAGAAAAAAGAAGAAAAAAGAAACAGAACTTCTCCAACTGTTTAATTTACATTCCAACGACGCTACCAAAGGGCCGACCAATATCCTCGACAGGTCATCGCCAATGTGCTTTATCACAGCGGTATATCTAGCGTCGTTGGGTCGGCATTCGGCGGGATAGTAGCACCGGCCCTAGATTGGACCCTAGGGGACACGACAAAGTGGTATCTCATTCTTATTCTGTGCTTCGCGCCTGGGTCTCCTCTTCTCTTTCTTCCCCTTACCTACAGGAATATCACCTTATACAAATACATCGTCTTCTGGCACCTCCGTTTATTTATACATCCCTGATCGACAGGTTCATCCGGATGGGAACGGATGACGACTTCCTCAACAGCGTCGCCGTCTTGGAATGGAAGCTGCGCGCCTTTTTCCTGCCCGGCTTGCTAGCCGCGCTTTCCGTTGCTTTGGCCATACCGCTTCCGCACTGCGATGGCCGCAGCGTTCTTGCTGGGGCTTGAGTATCATTCTCTCGTCGCAGGTCCTCAACTCGGCTGGGTCGCTTCTGGAATGTAGTCCTGATGCTCGCCTTGTCGGCCTGCCGTTTCTAGAGTACGAGCGACTTCAATGTCCGCACCATCCTGCTTAGGCTGCATGACCTTGTCTCGATTCCTCTAGGCCGCTGGGAAAAAGGAGTCGCCAGGGGCAGACGCCGTGCAGCAGAAGCGACACAGTTGCCAGTTGGTATCTATACCTACAGTCCACTGGAATCGCCGCGACGCATCCGACTTCTCAAGCCCGAAAGGAAATACTGGTTTCATTCCCATTGATGTCAACGGCAAGCGGCGGCTCATTACAGTCGCCGTCGAAGACTTGCTGTTTCCGGTCAGAGCATCTTTGTGTCTGTCTGTCTCTGAATCGACACAATATGCGTCAAACCAGTCCAGCACGGCGGAGAAGGACGTGCAGCTGCCGTTGATAAGGACATCCACCAATCCGCCCACCGCACAGTGGTCTGCTAGACACTGACGAGCCGACCAATGCTCACGAGGTTGCTGCCACGCGCAGGCTCTTCCGGACGTTAATCGTGTACGCTAATTTTCCGGGGCCATTTCTAGGCAAGCTATGCTGTTCTTCACGGGAAAAGAAGCGCTTGTCCACCGCGCAGTCAGGCGTCTCTTCGGCCACGCATGGTTTCGGCGCATATGGATTGTCCACGAGGTCGGCATATCCAACGAGATCCATGTCATCGTGCGCGGAATATATTTGGACTGGGAAACTCTCCGCGGCTTCGTCGAGTGGGTCAACCGCAGTGGTCAGCAGTCGCGCCGAGTCAAGCACGCCATGTCGGCCAAGGCATCCTCGAACGGGGATGCCGGGGGCCCCTATTTCTTCCTCACACTGCAAATTGCCGCGTATATGTCGATGATGCGGCACCAGGTGTTGACCATGAACCCATTGCCGCTCGCAACGTTGATGATGGGATCCTACGCTTCCTTTGCCAGCACCGACCCGCGTGACAAGGTGTTTGCACTGCTGGGTATGGCGAGCGATGGCCAAGCTCTGCCATTCAAGCCGCAATACGGCAGACCGGTGGCTGACATCTTCATCGACACGCACAAAGTTACATCCTGCCGTCCCTTGGAGACCGATGGAGCATAGCCCTCGCGTATGGCAGTCGATCCTACCACTCCATTCTCGCTGGCGAGCTCACTGCAAATTCGGCTCTTTGCACCACCCTCCCCTCTTGGGTGCTAGACTACTCCTCGGGATACACCATTGAAATGCGCACTCAGCACCTCAAGGCCACCGCCCTCATTGATCCCTCCGGGACCGTCACAGTCCTGAACGAGAAACATCGCTACCAGCGCCGGGCACTTCTTCTGTCGGCCATCCCATTTGCCGCCATCACGCAGCTCAACGACTTCTTCCAGTTCTGGGGGGCACTCCGAGCAGGCGATCAACCAAGCGGCGGTTGACTCGCTTACGGAAAACCTTCACACGCTTTTACAACACCAACCGCCCCGCACGGGAGTGGTACACCGCGGCCCTGGCCCTGACCCTCTGCACCTACTCCTCTAACCCGAAGGACCAAGAAACCACCTGGCAGACCCTCTGGGAGTTGATAATCGACCCGTACATCGCAGCCAACAAGGCCGCAACCATAGAACGCCTCCCGTTTGATAATAGGCCGCTCACCCCTCTCTACCGGAGCTACCCCAGGCGTTCGCCCTTCTCCTAGTCCAGAAGGCGATAACACCCAAGCTCCACTACTACAACCCTCCTCTCCTCCCTACCCATTCCACTCGCCCCGAGTCCGCCAATGATTCAAACGGTACCTAGTCTCTCCAATAGAGGACTTCCTAAGCTTCACGATTGGACAGCAACAGGCGACGAAGGCGTGAGCAGAGCAGCGGCCTTGAACTACACCTTGCCGCTGAGCCAGACATTTCTGCTCACTGTTGGCGGGGGGAGGCTTGCGGCATAGCGACGAAGGGGGGAGGATGGGCGACGAACAGAGCTGGCGCTCGTGCCACATAGGTGGGTGACATGCTAATGCTCATGCGCGGCGCCTGGAGTCCGATGTTGTTCAGACCCGCTAGCTCAGGTTCAAGTTCCTCTCCAGGAGGCCGCTCGGCGGAGTTGGGTGGTGTTTGTACGCTTGGCGGGAACGAGGCCGGCGTGATGCGGGATGCTGCGGGTTGGGATGATAGCAAGTGGGAGAAGTGGGTGTTTGATTTAGGCCTGTGCTGCATCTCTCTCACCAACACGTCTATATTCGCAATGATGGCTACCCGGCTCCTGGACAAGATACGGGCAATCTTGACTCACAACCCGTGTCGACACGAAACAGTTGAGAAGGTAACTGATGGATCGATTCCGACACCATGGCGCAGAACCCCCGTCGCCAGGCGCGTAAGTCTCGTCTTCCGTCCCCGGACAGAGCATTGCCGCACCCCAACTCAATTTATGATTCCACCTCGACCTACCTCCTACCTACCTTGCCACCGTGAACATTCAAGGCCCCAAAGCCGCTCGCTATGACATGAAGCAGCCGGTCCCGCCTCTCCCCGACAACGCGGCTCATCCGGAACATCGCCCGTTACCGGTCGAGTGCTCTGTTGGCCTCTCGGCGGGGACATCGCTTATGATCCCTGTTGCATGGAGACCAAGTAAGCTAGAGCAGGTAAGGTGAAGCTATGGATCAAATCGGAAATTCCGCCGGTTGACCCCGGCAGAAGAAGCTCATCCTTCGGAGGCACTATGTAACGTCGCCTCGAGCTCGTATATACCTGGTCATGCAATATTCCAAGCATGTGGCCCGCACTCCGGAAACTGCTTCCCCGCAGGCGTCTCTGACTACTGTTCTTCATCGAGAACTGTACTAGTCGAGGACGCAATCCTGAGACGCAATATGACGTTGGAGTCGTACCTAACAGTACCGGCTTTGGCGGCTACCGTGGCTGCTGTACTCGCGGGAAACATTATCTGGACTGTGAGTGCCCTCTGGCCCCTGACTCTGTATCCCGTCCCCGTGGGATAGCGACAAGAGCATTCGACTCATGTGGCGTAAATAGATCATCTCCAACGTCCTCGCGTCGCCAATCCCTTCGTCTGTCCCTGGTCCGTTTCTCGCTCGCCTCACCAGCAAATGGATCCTTTTCGTCGACATGTCGGGCTACCGCGCTCGCACCGTGGATGCGCTGCATAAGAAATACGGCCCTGTCGTGCGCCTGGCCCCAAACGAGTTGTCATTCTCCTGCCGGGAGGCCGTCCAGCCCATTTACGGGACCGGATCTACGTGCATCAAGGGCCCGATTTACGACTACTTTGGCAAGCGCGGCTTGTTTCAGATGAAGGACGCCGGCGAGCACCGCGAGCGCCACAGGCGTATGGCTCATATCTTCAGTGCGGGCTCGCTGCAGCAGATGGAGCCCCTGGTCCAGTCCGTCATCGACCGCACTGTGGGCGCCATCGAAAACAAGGCCGGGCAGGTTTGTGATGCGCTGCATTTCTGTCGGATGATGGCCCTCGATGTCGCTGGTATGTTGACGATCATCGGCTATGTCATGTGTGGTTACGGTGCCTGTCCACTGATGCCGGCTTCGAATATAGGTGAGGTCCTGATGGGCAAGTCGTTTGGTGCGTTTGACGGCCAGGAGAACGCCCCTGTTTACGTCAAACATTTGGACAATGCATACCCGGTGTGGTTTATCCAGGGTATCGCCCCGCTGGTATATCACACCCTTAACATGCTGCCCATTCCAGCGTTGCAGGAGTTCATGACCTCTGGGGACTATGTATACAAGTACGGCAATGACGCTTTCGAGGAGTTCCTCAGACTGAACGGCCGCACTTCGAATCGACGCACGCTCCTTACCAAGCTCATTGCCGGCAACCCGGAGACGGGTGCTGAGCCCCTCCCAGATGCCGATATCAGCACCGAGGTTTCGAACCTGACCTTTGCCGCGGTCGATACCACTGGTAACACCGGAGCGTATGCCCTCTACCGCTTGGCTTGCCACCCAGACTGGCAAGAGAAACTACAGACCGAGATACGCACCTCGCGCGCCAGGGAAACCAACTTCGCTTATCGGATGCTGCAAACGCTCCCTGTCTTGAACGGCGTTCTCATGGAGACGTTGAGGCTCCACCCGGCCCAGCCGAGCGGCCCGTTGAGGGAGACTACAGACCATAGCACCAATATTGCTGGGTTGAATCTGCCAGCGAAGGTGATTACACACATCACTCCCCCCTTTCAGCAAACTTCATGGCCTTCACCCCATGCTGACCTTAACTCTCTTCTTGCGTCTAGACCCTCGTATCCATGCAAGCCTACACAACCCAACGCGACCCAGCCTACTTTCCTAATCCGGACAAGTTTGACCCGGGCCGCTGGATCAAGGCCGACGGCACCATCAACCCAGGGACCCCCGAGCTGCAGGACATGATGCTGGTTTGGGGCAAGGGCCCACGCACGTGTTCCGGCCAGTACATGGCGACCATGGAGTTGAAGATTCTGCTCGCCCGGCTGATGGATCGCTTTGGGGTCGCGTTGCATGGGGAAAAGACGCATCTCGAGATGGAAATGACGGACCATTTTGTGCTTATCCCTAAGGGGCATTGTTGCAGTTTGGTTTTTACTACCTTAGGGAGTTAAGACTTAGAAGTGGTCAAGCCCTACGGGCCTGACTGGACACAGTCTACTGCTGCCCAGTCTGGGCCTGAGACAAGGAAGGAGATGATCAGCCAATTCACCTGAGACAGATTGAGTATATCGTGACCGTGTTGGGGTATGGCGGCATTCAACAACCAGCCGCTTGTGGGTGCATGGCGTAAATGAAGCATCCCTCCTCTCTTGTGTAGGTGGCTGGCCGGAACATGAATTTGAGTAGCGGTGTGTTCACGTCAACCCACAGCCGACATATTCCCTTGCTTTTTCCGACGTGCAGGGACGACGATCACTCAGTATACAAGAGGATTCCGTTGGGTTAAAGCGGAGTTGCGTTAACTAGAAATGTTGGCCTGGTGGAGCGAGCATCCGAGAGCCCTATGAAATCGCGATGAACTAAGGTAATAAACATAAAGCGCCCTGAACATCAATCTTCTCCTTTATGTTGTTGTCTTTCTTGGAACTTGAGCGCTCCCAACATTGGGGGAAGGTGATAGGACTATGAAGAGGGTTACCGCGCGCGAGCTTTCAAACATCCGCAACAGAGCAGGGAAAAAAGGGAGGGATGTGTGTCTGGTGCACGACGCCGGAGCTCCGATCAGTGATGGGATGTGAAGGGAACTCCGAGACTCCGAGTCAGTAACGAAACGACCTTGCCAATTGGCTGACATAGAAGCAGGACGCTAATAGTTTGCCAGTTTCCAAGACATGGTGACGATGTGGCTTGCCGAGATTGGAAGTTGACGAGCGATCACGGATGCCACTGTATCAAGTTTTGTTAAGAAGCAAAGCGGGGAAACGTCAAAGGCACCTCTGTGGGTTAGATAACGAGCCCTAAACTGCATATGTGGGCTAGACTTCAGGTGCTTATATGAGCGACCTCCAGTCGGCGCAGCATGAGCCCCCTCAAGGAACACTTGCACCCTACCATCCAACAGACTGAGCCAGTTATCCTGTAACCTCGCCATTTGTTGTTTCATTGCTGTTACGGTACCTCACCTGCCTCTTGAACGCCATGAAGTCGCCACAACTCGGCTTTGTCTTGGCCTTATGGCTGAAAAGCGCAGCAAGCATCGAGGGGTCAGGCTACTCGAATGCTACCATTGATGTCGACGTTGCCATCATTGGCGGCGGCTCTGGTGGGATTCACAGCGCAATCCAACTGAAGGACGCAGGTGCTCGCGTCCTAGTTCTTGAGAAGAAAGACCAGATCGGCGGTCACGCAGAGACCTACATCAACAAGGAGACGGGCGTCGTTAACAACATTGGCGTTAGCGTCTTTGAAGACACAGATGTCGTCAAGCGCTACTTCGCCCGCCTGGGAGTGCCTACAAGCTCCGTAAGCGCAAGCCCGCCCAGTACTTTGTACGACTTTGAGCTAGGCATTCCCATCCCACCCCCAGACGAAGGCGCCCAACAGGCCATTCTGGCAGCGGCCAAGGCGTACTCCCAGAATGTCCTGAGCAAGTACGGATGGCTTGACCAGGGTTATTTCCTTCCCGACCCAGTTCCCGAGGAGCTCTACATGCCAATCGGAGATCTTGCCGCAAAGTACAACTTCACCGCTCTGCTTCCCATCATGGCCCGATTCAACTGGCACTTCGGCAACCAGACGAAGGTGCCGGCTCTGTACGGCATCAAAGACTTTGGCCCCGACTTTCTACGCAGCACATTCGGCCAGCTTATTGTCTCAGGCACCGGCAACACCCGGAGCTTGTACGATGCCGCCCTCAAGGAACTGGGCTCCAGCGTCCTTTTGAGCACCACGATCCTGGCCGTCAACCGCCACTCGACCGGCGTCACCCTGCTCGTCTCCCAGAACGGAATGGTCAAGACGATCAGAGCCAAGAAGTTGCTGGTCGCCATCCCGCCGACTCTTCAGAGCTTGAAGTCCTTTGATCTCTCCCGGAGCGAGCGGGCCCTCTTCTCCCGGTTCTCCTCCCTTGGCTATTTCACGGGCGTGGCCCGCGTTCCCGGCTGGAACAGCCGATCGCTGGCAAATGTCGGCGCCTTTACACCCTTCCACCAGCCTCTTATACCGGGCAGCCGCGCCTTTCGTGCTACGGGAACCCCCGACGAATTCTACTTCGGAGTGGGCTTTCCCACTGACCAGGTGGCGGATGAAGATGGCAAGGCCGTAGTCCGCAGACAATTGGCTACGCTCGCCGAGGCGGGGGCAATCCCGGCCGCCGCGGGGGACGCAGTCACATTTTCGGCGTCCTCGTTCCATATGCCCTTCAACGTGCGTGTCGGGGCCGCCGACATCAAGAAGGGCTTCTACGCTGAGCTGTTGGCACTACAGGGTTCCCGCAACACATACTGGACGGGTGCGGCATGGGCAGGTCATAACAGCGCGTTGGTGTGGAAGTTTAACGAGGGCACCATCGTTCCGGCTATAAAGGAAGACCTTGGTCTTGAGCACCAGTTACCCTTGAGCTGGAACTCGCATCTCCATCTCACACCTTGGATGCTCACAACCATATCCGGCGTCAAGCATTAGGGGTTGTGATGGCGGCCTTCTTGGCCGTTTCCCCCTTGTTGGGCTCTTTAGGACAGCCTAGTCTTGTCTCGCTGGATCTCGCTCGATCTTCCCAACTATACCATCAATCTCAGCCATGACTTCTGGCGTGAGTCTCTCGAGTACCTTCAATGCCTGGCAGTTTTCAACAACCTGCTCCGGCCGCGATGCCCCGGTGATAACGGCAGACACGTTCGGGTTCTTCAAGCACCATGCCAGTGCAAGTTGAGACCGAGTTATGCCCAGTTCATCTGCAATTGGCTAAACAGATGTTAGCTATCGGATCCCAATGGACGTTAATTAGCGCCAAAGCTTACCTTCAGTTCCTTTGCCTTCCTGATTGTATCCTGCCATTCGGTGTTCTGGTACGAGTTCCTCACGAAGTCCCCAAATTTGTCTCTGGTTTCCGAGAACCGGGACCCAGGAGGGGGCGCATCAGGACTGTCATCATACTTCCCGGTCAACAAGCCAAACTTCAGGGGCGAGAAGGTCGTCAAGCCAATGCCGAAGCGGGCATACAACCGCTGAAACTCGCCCTCCACTTTCTTCCTTGCCAGCAGGCTATACTGCGGTTGCTCGACAACAGGCGGAATAAGGCCCAACTGTTTCGCAATCCCACAAGCTTCGGCGATTTCGTCGGCTGACCACTCGCTTGTTCCCCAATAAAGGGCCCATCCTTTCTGCTCGATGACGTGGTTGAATGCGCGGACCGTCTCTTCCATGGGCGTCAGGCGGTCGGGCCGGTGCGCATACACAATGTCGACATACTCCAAGTCCAGCCGCTTCAGTGAGGCGCGCAAGCCTTCGATGATGTGCTTGCGGCTTAGTCCATGGTTGTTGACCAGCACTTCACCATTAGCACCTCCCCAATTCAGCTTCGTGCTGATGACAATGTCATTGCGTTTCCAGTTGTATTTCTTGATGGCCTGGCCCATGACGACTTCGGACTGGCCTGCGGCGTAGCTCTCAGCAGTGTCGAAGAAGTTGATGCCGCAGTCATAGGCTTGCTTCATGCATGAGAAGGCAAGCTCTGGAGTGTGTCAGCTCTATCCAGTTTTCTGTTGAGCTGATACTGACCGTTCTCGACATGACCGCCAAACGTGAGCCATCCACCCAAGCCCAACACCGAGACATGCAGGCCAGAGTTTCCCAGGCGACGGTATTGCATGCCCGTCTTCCGAGGTTCTTCCCAGGCCATTGTGGTTGGTTGTTGCGCTGGAGTGATTGGATGTTCCGAGGACACTGGTTGGAGGCTGAAAGGAGTTGGTCAAGGGTTGGCCACCAGGAAGGTAAGGTACTGACGAAGTTCTTGAACTTGTGGCAGCGAATTGGTTGAGATGCCGACTCACTGTGTGATCCACAGTTCGACGTCCTCATCCCGCAGGATCAGGAGGTGCTTTGCTCAAACCACTCGATAACTGTCAGTAGCGTCATGCTTGCTCGGGAGAGGATACCCAATTAGGCAACTCAGACAGTTTCTCGGGGACAGCCGAGAGGATGGGACTCTAAGTGCGGCACTGTGGAGGAACATGGGTCATATCCTGGTGTATCGCTATTTGGCTCCACGATGGCATCATACTTAGTGCCGGGAAAAATCACCAGTCTAGGTACCGACTGGAGAAAACATGTGATTTCCGCTGACTGCAGCCTCACTCCACTGGGCAACAACGGAACCGCACAACACGCCTCTCCACCCAAACCTAGACGACGAACCTGAAATCGAGGCGCTTATTGCCCTCGGCTTCGCGAGACACGACGTCTGCCTGGTACATAGCTTTCTCCTCTGCGTTCATGCGCGACCACTTCTCTTCCTTCTTCTTGTTCAGGTACACGAGCACCTGTCGCTGCACCAGCATGGCCACGAGCGACAGCGCGCAAATGGCGACAAGGACCGCGTTGCCCTGCTTGTAGTACGGCGCATCGTACGAGCGGTATATCTGGGACCCGATAAGGGAGCCGATCTGCACGATGACGTTGTAAGTCGCGGCCGTGATGGCTCGTTTCTTGACGTCGAACGTGTTCTCCGAGATCCACGACGACACCAGGGGGTGGAAGTACGGATAACCCGAGATGAGTGTGATGAGGGAGAAGCGGGACCATTCACGGCCGCCGTCAGGAAGCGTCAAGAGCGCAATGAGCAGCGGCATGATCCAGAACTCGCCAAACATGATGTGCAGAGTCCGCTCGTTGAAGTAGTCGCTGCTGTACGCGAGAGTCAACATGGTGATGATTTGTAGGGCAGCCGACGGGACGGTGAGCATGTTGGAGTTGAAGGTAGAGAAGCCGATGCGCTTGAGGGTCAGGGTGAGGTAGGCTTGGACCGGCGTCGCTGGAATGTATGCGACAAGGCCGATGAAATAGAGCCCCCACATCGAAGGGTCCTTCCAAGCTTCGCGGATGTCTTTGAAAGTGGCGGGTTCCTTGAGCGCGGTGAGGCCCTTGGCCGGGTCGTCGCGAAGGATACGCTGCTCGTCGTCAGTACCAGACTCGGTGTATAAAAATTATGATATCCATGCTTACATTGACCATGATCACTTCCTCTCGCTCTGTGTACCAGCCCTTACGCCACAGCAAAGTCTTGGACTCGGTCGGCGCAGCAGGGAGGTACAGGAACGAAACGAGAGCAATTACAACCGTCAGGAGACCTTCCAGCAAGAACAGCCAGAACCACCCCGGCTTTCCTCCGATCCCCCGCATCTCCAGAATGCCAGCAGCCAGCAGCGCCGAGATGACACGGGCGACATTCAACGTCGACCAGAAGGCGGCCAGCCGCATGGCCAGTTCCTTGGATTTGTAGAAGTAAGTCGCGAAGAGGATGACGCCGGGGATGAAGCCGCCCTCGCACAGGCCGATAAAGGCGCGCCCCAGGTAGAAAGACGTCCGGTCGTGCATCCATGCCTGGGCCCAACTGACGGTTCCCCATGCCAGCATCTGTATCCCGGTGAGTTTGCAAGCCCGACGACATATTAGAGTACAAGTACGGGAGTGCAGCACGTACCATGCTGGGCAGAACCCACTTGAAGCCGAACCTCTTGGTCAAGAACTGGACCGGGAACTCGGCTGTGAGGAAGCAGAGTAGCTGAATCGTCGTGCCATTGTTGTAGTCGTCACTGGTCAGGTTGAGATCCTTGAGCAGGTCGTCGGCGAGCGCATTGGAGACGTTGCCGCGGTCGAGCTGCAGGCCGAACATCATAAGGCAGAGCCAAGAGAGAAGATAGAAATCCGTCTTGCGCACAACGCGACGTTCTTCTTCCTCTGTCCATTTGGCCTCTGGATCGAACCGATGTCTGCCTTCGTACGAATCGTGAGGCGGTACAATGTCGGCGAGCTCCTCACGTCCGACTCTTGCCGGCGCCTTGAGGGAGGCCACGTCGAGACTGGGACGCGTTTGAGGGGCGGCCTCAATATCTTGTGTGGTTGCCATGCTCGTGGTTGGATGGCTGGTCGGGCGGTATGTGGATCTTCAAGTTAAGAGCGACACCCCAACGGTCGAGAATGCACACTCGAGCAGATACTTATTTCTTGGTCAACCAACGGCCCGCATCTTATCTAACCGACGGTGAATGTCGTAATCGGGATAGATTCAAACGACATCGGGATTACAACTACCAAGGCAGAGAAAGCCGTGATACACGATCCGAGCTCCATCATCACTGTTCACCACCTTTCCTACTACAGTAGTGCTGCCGTTGCATCTCCTCAAGGCCATCGGAGGCTTGTCTCAACTAGGCGTAACTTGTTGTGAGGGCTGTGGGGAGGGGGTTTGGTACTCTCCCGAGTTCCATTCCGCTTTGAGACTGGTCGTCGATGACGTGCTCAATCCTCCAAGCCGCGTGTGCTTCTCCTGTACCCACCAGATTCGGCAGTCCCACGTGTACATTTAAAAGTATTTCAGGAGTCCTGGTGATGCGTTTCGAGCTCCAAGTTTCACCCACCCAGTCCATCACGAAGCGTGATATTGTTGATGCCTTAGGCCCATCCAGCGAGCAAGGATACCCGCATCACTAAAGTACACATCTACGATCCTTACTTCCCTGACAACACCCGGAACGCTATCAAAGCCGCGTTTACCCTTCTCTCAGGATGCCTTCAGCTCACAGGGTTCTCGTGGACAACCAGGAGAGTGCGGACAGCAACGTTGTGGGCGGGCACGCGACTGCTCGGCCGAGGCTGCTGAAGCCTCTGCCCTACGCAGGCGCACTGGACAAATTCAGGCATCAGGATCTAACGCCCGTGATCGGAAGGGAGTATGAAAATCTCCAAGTGACGGACCTACTGAAGGGGGGCGATGATGTGATCAGAGACCTAGCGGTCACAGGTCCGTTTCCATCGAAATGTCCTCCATGCCCCAAGGCCTAATTCCTTCTATCAGTTTCTCAACGTGGTGTTGTTTTCCTCCGAAACCAGCATGTGACACCCGACCAGATGAAGGACTTGATGCTGCGGCTGACTGAGCTTACCGGATGTGTACGTCTTGTTCAATGCCCTCGCCGATGCCCCTGAGGCAATATGCAAAACATCCTCAAGTCCCATTCAAAACCCAGTCGCTAACGTTGCGCCAGCCCGAGTCATCCGGCCTCCATGTGCATCCCCTGACCGAGGAAGGGTCGGAGCTAGGCGACCAGATCTCCGTCATCAGCAGCGAGAAGCAGAAGAAAGGCGGTGGTCTCATACACCACCATTCCGATGTCAGCAGGTTTGCGTCCGCCGGCTGGCATACTGACATCTCTTTCGAACCGGTTCCGTCCGACTATGCCATGCTGAAGATCCACACTCTTCCTCCCACAGGCGGCGACACTTTGTGGGCGTCTGGGTACGAGATCTACGACCGACTGTCGCTCCCATTAAAGACATTGTTGGAGGGGTTGACCGCAACCCACGATGCCAGGTTCTTCCTGGAAGAGGCTGAAAGACTGGGAAACCCCCTGAGAAAGGGCATCAGGGGACATCCGCTGAACCACGGAGACTCTCTGACAGCTGTGCACCCTGTAATCCGGACAAACCGTACGTCACAAGCCCCGTCTTGCGTTGCACTTTGCTGTCGCTAATGTTCAACACGCACAGCCGTGACCGGATGGAAATCGGTCTACGTCAACAAGGGTTTCACCAAACGCATCAACGGCGTCACCAAGGACGAGTCCGACCTCCTTCTCGGTTACCTGTTCAACTTGGTCACGCAGAACCACGACGCCCAAGTCCGCTTCAAGTGGCGTCCGAACGACCTCGCAATTTGGGACAACAGAAGCACGTGGCATTGCGCTACCTACGATTACAACCATCCTCGGGTGGGGGACCGTGTGTGCAGTTTGGGCGAAGCGCCATACCTGGACTTGAAGAGTACTTCGAGGAAGGAAGCCCTGGGATTTTTGTGATTCGAGCAAGTAGAAAGTCCAATCTCCAGGAGACAGAGCAAAGGCAGTAGTAACGGTAACATGAACGCAGTGCCTCAGATATTGCCTTTCGGGTAACGCCCGCTTGATCGGGCCGCTGAACAAGGACGTGGCAGTAGGGCTGAAACATAACCGCCTCCTCATATAGCCTCACCCCAAATCAACCCTTTCCCTTAAGAAGTCTCGAATCGCCTCAGTACCAACACCCCTCCTCATCCCCGTCTCGTCATCCCACGAACTATGCACACCTACCAACATCTCTCCCATCCGTGCCGTCCTCTCCACCAGCGGCGCCCCGCTATGGCCCCAATACGTCCAACAACTGTGCATCAGCGCCCCAATCTCCTCATTATCCTGCACGTCCTGCCCGTCCGCATAACCCCTAAACGTCCCCTCGCTGACACACAGAACTTCGTACCCCGTTTCCACGCCCGTTTCTTCACACTCCAGGTCTTCGCTCCCAGGCTGGCCGATGCAGACGAGTTTTGTGCCGACCTTGGGAGATCGGTCCGCGATTCCGAGAGAAGGGAACTGCCAGTGCGGTTGGCTCAACCCGGAATTATCTTGTCCTCCTGGCGGGCGTTGTGCGGCTGTGATTTGTAGCAACGCCAGATCGCGTTTGAGGTCCCAGGCTGTGCATTGCGCTGTGACAACAGTGCCGGAGGCGAAGAGGAGGAGGTGGGATTTGGAGAGATCGAGTTCGGCCCCAGTTTCGGCGATGCAGTGGGCGCAAGTGAGGAGCAGGCCGGAGTCGTGGATACACACTGCCGTGCCGGCTTCGGCCTGGGCGAAGATGAGGGTTGCGGATGTGGCTGATGTGTAGCTGGAGGGTCTGAGGGTGCCAAAAGCTTGCAGCCTGGCTTGCTTTAGGAGGAGGAGGGTATGATCTTTCTTGGTGAGCTTGGTATGGGAGCGGAGGAGGCGGGTGGGAAGAAGGTGGATGTCGGGGCTTGAAGAGGGTGCGCTATCCCCTGTTTCCTGTTTTGATGCGTCGGTATTAAAATCGGTTAGTGCTTGGGCCTCTACAAGAAGTGGCCATTTTTGAAGACGGGTCTGGCGGAGTCTGGGCTCCATAGCGGCGAAGAGGGCGGGTTTCGATGTCAGTAAAAGAGTGCTGGATACCGTATTGTGCACTAAAAAGAATTTGGTTGCAATGGAAGTCAGTCATCTCTGTGGATAGCAACCCCCTGCTACGTTATTGTGCCGCGGCTGCCTAAAGGTGTATTGATTACCAAATGGAGCCGCCACGGTGAGCAGAGAGAGTGTACCCCAGGACGCCACCTAGCCTCCCGAGCTGCAAGCCAACCGACTAAGAACTGTCTACAGGTAGCTTTCCCCACGTCTTACACCGCTTCTTTAGGTATTGTAACTTAGCACCCTTAGCGTCTGCGGCTACACAGGTCAGCATTCCTGATTTCGTAATCCGGGATACATGCGCTGGTTTTCGACATCATAACCTCGATATCCCAAATATCGGCTAAGGCTAACACAGCCGGCAGAGCGTTCAGCTTCGGGTAGGTTGTGAGGCCAGTATCGGGCAAAGCATGAGGCCTCCGGTCCTCAAATTTGACTGTCCGATTCGGCGATTTCCTGTTGCCTTTTTTCTCTCGCATCCGCCTGCGCCATGTCGCTATGCGGACGGTGCGGAGCCATCGATCTCGCGAGATCATTGCCAAATCAACCCCGCCGGACTCCAGGAGTGTTGCTCAAGGCTGGGCTCACCTCCCAGGCGTTGGCTCGGCTCCGTGTGTCACGGGTAGTGACAGCGTGAGGTTCATGTGCGCAACTCCTGGTTCGACTGGACAGTTCGAACCACGGTCCCTCTTTTGAGGTTGTTACGCAGTGGTCAGTTGCGCCCACCCGTGACACCGTGCCAGCGGGGGGACTTGTGAGCTCTGCTCCACTCTGCTTGTCAACGCCGCTGCCAACTCCCTCGTCCGCGACAATGACTGCGACTATCATCTCACATTCATTCGCGGCTCTTGGCCTCGAATCGGGCCGACAAGGCATCGGATCCCCATCAGGGAGATTACTGTTCAAATTGACAGCAAGGGCGCCAATATACTGCATAGTGTTAGGCGAGTCGACGTGTGGATACCCCGACAACTCAGAGGATAGGACCAACCTATACTTCTAGTCTCATGTAGCAGGCCACTCACATCAATCTCATCACAGGCTGTCCCGCTAGAGAAGCTCATCTCGGCCCGGTGTCACGAACCAACCATATGTACAGGCCCAGTGGGGCACAAGACAGAACCCCAGAGCCAATCGTTCCCCTAAGGAAGTGCAGGAACCGCACGAGGCCCAAACGGTAGCCGTGGGGGCCGGGCGATCAAGGGTAGACTTGGGTAGCTGGCTACCTAAGGCGATCAAGGATAGCTCTTGGTAGACTGCGATCATGGGCGATCATGAACGCTCTACCAAGTATATAGTCACTTGTTCTGGAGGACTCTGGGAGTTCTCCAGTAAGCAACTCAAGTGCAAGATTGTCGGTACCTTTGGACATTGCTTGTTGTGAGCCCTTTGGCTTCACCGAGCCTCACCCCGTTGTCAAATTAAACCTTCAAGAGTCCCTTTCAGAAGTTGGGGTTTTGAGATTCGTCACACCCGGCCCGTTCGCCCAGAGTGGGACCTTTGTTGAAATAGATTAGCTCGCTCTTTTCTCTTTTCGGCAAAGACAACCCCTCTAGACTCGGCCCACTGTAGGCAGGTCTTCCAGGCCTCTTCTAGTTACCGGCAATTAGTCTAAGGCCCTCGGTTAAAGGCCAGGACGTTAGTATTGTCTGCAAAGCCCACTATAGCTATCCCTAGATGCTTTTCCTTCAACGCCCTATATAGGGAATCAAATAAAGGATAAAAAGGATCGGGATAGTGGGGAGCGCTGTGGGACCCTAGCCTTGACTGGTATAGGCTCTGGAGTTTGGCCGTCGAAGTAGAGTGTAGCCGTCCTATCTTCAAGCCAGACCTTAGTCCACCGCACTAGCTACTCAGGGAAGCCACAGGCCCGGAGGGTATTTAGTAGCCTTGTATGATTGACTGCATAGAAGGCTCCAGATATTTAATCTAGCTATAGTAGGGAGGTGGTTGCTCCCTGTCTCTAAGCCTCCTGGATCTGAGTAACCACTAGCCGTATAGCTAGCTCAGTGGATCGGCTAGCCCTGTTACCCATCTGCTTGTCAGGTAGTAGGCCGTTCCACTCCGCAGCCTCTGCCACCCTCCTAGCCATTATAGCCTCCAGTACATTCCCTAAGTTTGACAAATCTCAAAGACCTAACTTCTGAAAGAGACTCCTGAAGGTTATACTTGACAACGGGGTGAGGTTCGGTGAAGCCAAAGGGTTCACAACAAGCAATGTCCAAGGGTACTGACAAACTTGCACTTGAGTTGCTTACTGGAGAACTCCTAGAGTCCTCTAGAACGAGTGACTAAATACTAGATACATTTGGTTGCTCTCTCATGCTCTCTAGAACCACCTAGAGCAAATGCTCTACGGTGCTCTCGAGAGCCTCGTAGAGCGTCCTCTGATTGGCCTTGCACTTGGTGCTCTCTCATGCTCCTGAGAGGTCTCTGGAGCACCTCCAGGGCTCGTTCCGATTGGTCCTAAGTGATTGGCTCGGAACGTCCTACGTTCCCAACTGGCTTCTGCAAGTAAGCCGCTGCTGTTAGCTCTCGTTAATTCATTTGTGACACTAAGGTAGGTAGGAGGGCTATAGGCCTGTAGCCTTTGGCAGTTTTGTACGTAGCCGGAGATCTCCCTGGCTTCGTTAGAACCACTGTTTTGGCCCTCTTGAATCTTGGGGGATATCACTGTAGTTCTAGGCACCTGGTGTAGAGCACTGCCGGGATCTGGAATAGTGGCCTTCCATAGGCCTTTATCAGGCCTGTATGTATAAGGTCCTCCCCCAGAGCCTTCTAAGGATGAGCCTCTGAGAGGGCTCTAGCTATATCTCTAATAGTAACCTCTTTCCGAACCTCGAACTATGGTTGGTCGGAGGCTTAGTCGAAGGTAGTATCAAGGATATCGCTAAGGTTAGCTAGTAGGCTTGGGAAGAACCTCGCTGCAAGGGCCTTGGCCTTCTGGCTATAGGCCGGAAGGTCTGGTTCGCCTGGGTCTCTATAGAGTGGTGGCAGTTTCGGTGGCTCGGTGGGTAGGAAGCTCTTTGTGCTGTAACGGGCTGGGTCCGAGATGGGCCTCGATGACCCTCGGCCAGCTCCCGTATAAGCACGGTCCACCAAACCCCCTGGATGAAGCTATTCCCACTCGACCTACAGTGTCGAACCTTCTAGCAGCGTACACCTGCGAGGATAAATTGGCTCTCGAGCTACCAGAGTCTTACATCTCTTCTTTCATTCCTCCAGTGTACTCGTAGAGTCGTCATCAGCTAGTTGCAGTATACTACCTGAGACCGTTACATGTGCGGGCCTATCTTTCTAGCTTATATAGAAGGCTGGAATCTGCCGTAGCCTTCTGTAGCGTAGACCTCTAAGTCCTTGTCTGGGCTAGCTATATGGTTGTGTTGGAAGTGATGTAACGGTCTCAGGTAGTATATTGCAACTAGCTGATGACGACTCTACGAGTACACTGAACTTGGAGAAGAAAAGGAGAGACGACAGACTTTGGTAGCTCGCAAGCATACTTATCCTCGTAGGCGCGCTGGTCTGAGCGCGTTGCTAGAAGGTTCGGTGTGCTGTGGGGCGAGTGGGAATAGCCTCATCAGGGGTCTTGGTATTGGCCCAGAGTCGCCGAGGCTCGCACCGGGCCCAGCCCGTTACAAGTGAAGGCACCTGAAATTCGGAAACTGGGTTGCCGGTATCGTACCCTGATCAGGGGTAGTACACAGCTGTTACATAAGTCTAGGAGGCACCCAGGCAACTTGGAGAAGGAGAAGAACAGAACCCTCAATGGACAGATTCTGGGCTGGTCCCGGGTACTCGAAAAGTTCACTGTTTTAACGGCACCCATAAAGCGTATCACCGTGGAATCGTGGCTGTTGGCTTTCCAACAGGTTGCTGACTGTATACGGAGGCTCTGATTGAGCCTTCGTTTAAGAAAGTCACTAGGGGCATGTTTATAGGTGCTTTCGACCTCTCTAGCCTCCTAAGTAGCGTATTGGACCTCCTAGGTCCACCAGTGGGCTTGGAACCCTCTGTTTAGCTTCTATAGGAGGGTACTAGCCTCTGCAATTCTCTGAAGTTGACCTACTAACCAGTCAAAGGTCTGTGATAGGCCCTCTGTCGTTGACGCCCTGGCTAGCAGGCCCTATAGACCTTGGTCGGCAAGGCCTATAGCCCTTAGAAGAAGAGTTGCCTCTGCTTCTACCCTCCTCCTATCCATCATGGCCTAGCACTAGCCTTGAGGGGATAGCGCTTCTTTTTAGGGTATTTAGTCGGCTTCGAGGACCTATGGGTAGTGGTCTGACCTCCTCCGCTTCTGGATGCTATAGTACATCGTTTGTAAGCCTTTAGAGTCCCAAACATGGTTAATGGTTAAGGGTCTATCCCTCTAGGCCCCCTGTGGTTCCCTGGTTGTTGTACCTGAGAGGGTCCGAAGATCGAGGTCCTACTATAAGGCCAGATATAGTAGGTCCTCGGCTTAGTATTCCTCTCGGCTATAGTAGTCCTATAGTGGGTGATATAGGTTAAGTCCCCTGTCAGAATAGTAGGTAAGCTTGGCTTAGGTCTTCTAAGGAGGGCCTTGGGACCTCCTTTGAATCTAGAGGGTCAGAGATCAACCAGATCTCTAGGTCTGGCTTAGAGCCCATCAGCTGGGCCTAGCGCCAATTATCTTTCGACTCGTAGTCCTACTAGCTTGGTAGAAAGCCTTTGATTATATAGAGCGCTGTTCGGCCCCGAGGCGGGTACACTAGGTGGTACTTGCAACTCCTAGGGCAGTAGGTTGATCTGGTTTGCGGGTTGATCCAGGGCTCTAATATCGCTAGGATATCGTAATTTGCTTCCTTAAGTAGAACCAATAGCGATTGCTAGTTGCCTTCAAGACTCTAAAGTAGTATAGATACTACTATTGCTTAGTCCTCGGAATATTGGTTGCTTAGGCTGCGTAAGTTGCTTAGGTAGCATGGTCTAGATGGCTTCGTTGGCTGCTTAGAAGGGTAGAGGAATAGCCTAGGGGCACTGTAGCTAGTCACGCCTAAAGATGGTCCTGGCCGGCA